GACTATTAATAATACGCAATCGTGCCTATCTTACGGCACTATATTTATTTGCAACACCGCGCAAGTATGCTTATTATTAACAAAAAAAATAACTCACACTGGTCCTGCCCCATCCAGCAGCTCTAGCCTGCACATTGCCCGGAACGAAATCAAAGCTCAGCGATATCGGTCTGACGAGGTTGTTGAACACAATGTTAGAGGCCGTAAACAGCATTCCGATGTCGTTCTTGATGGTACCGCTGACGTAGTGCTGGTGGGTCGCATTGCCGGATAGACTGAGCGTCTGCCCGCCTTGGTTCCAGCGGTTGGTACCTACGGTGACGCGGAGAGAGCTGGAAGCGAGAAAATTGGCATTTAAATGTTTATTTATTTATTTATTTACATACACACAAATTTACTATTGTTACAGGCTAACCCAATATAATAGTAGTGCCAATCTTTTACCATAATTCAAATAATAATAATTAATTAATTAATTAATTATATGTTGAGGTGTTAAAGGTTCTAATTTATAAATGTGTTTGGAGTTTAGTAGTAGAAGAAAATTATGTTATTTATATAGCAATCGGCATGAGCGGCATCTTCACACATTTTGTTTTGCAGTTGAGAAACTGATCTTAATATGCCATGCCACTTAAGTGTTTCTTACTAATAATATTTTAATTAAGAAATAATTAGGGGAGCGGGCGCCTCTTGGGCCTGGAAAAGTATTTATTTATTTGCATTTTCTCTTTAATTTATTTACACTTTTTCGCTGTCAAAATTTATTTATTTGGTAATAATAGCACACAGCACAATAACCACCAAGGTTATAATGTAGTAAGACTTTTTGTATTCTATTCTAACCTGCTAAGAGACCCGAAGCTGAAGAATGCAGCGATGCAGTGAGCAGCGGTCAACACAGTTCTCTGGGAAAGCACAGACCCTCCACACTGGAAACTTCTAAGTATGGTTCCAGAGGTGAGAGCCACCATATGGGGGTGGGCCCCGTTAGCGGCCTCCGTGCCCCCCACGATGCGAGCGTCGGAGGAGTCGTCGAAATCTTCTTGGTCGAAGAATATCGACATATCGTCATACTCGGGCGGCGTTGGGATGGCTAAGGATTTATTTTTGATGCCATTTAAAAAAGAAAACAAAAAAAAATCAATTTAAGTTCTTTACTAATTTACGCTGCCTTTTGATATGAATCTTTATGGCACATTTTATTATGCTTTTTTAACGAACGTTTTTTTTCCGTACTCAAGTTAACAAGGGATTAAATATTGCAAAGCTCTTTTATCACGTTTGTAGTGTTTAATTTAATTAAATTCTAGTGACTTTTATACTTACCCAAGCATCCCAACACGATGGTGATAAAAATTATTCCAGACCTGAAAGCCATTTTGGAAGCCCGAGTGTGAATAAAATTGACCAAATAATAGAAAAGATTTCTATATTTATATCCCGTTGGTATCAATCTAAAGGCGAAATCAATCAATTAGATAATACATTGAAGATTAATGATATAATAGCACTTTGTGTACCTAATTTGAAACAGATTCATTAGTTTTTAAAACGTGTAAAAACCACCACTTACGTAGCGGATTAAAATATTTATCAATAAAAATGTAACGCGTATATTTGTTTTTCATATAAAATATTAATGATAATTATGATAAAGTTACTCTCCAAATAGTAATTACATTAAAATAGAAATTAACACAATAGATTTTAATAACACGAAGAAACTGTTATATAATTATTCTTAAGATGATAATGATAAAATAAAAACTCACCCATACATTCCAATTATTCAAGGAGTAGGATAACAATATTTTGTCATATTGAAGGGGAACATGTTGGACGAGCGATTCATTTGCCCCAAAGTGGACGCGTTTTCTGTCCTTACATTGGAATCACTGGCATAAACAAGTGTAAGAAACCTTTCTATGATTGTTTTAATGAAAGCCGAGTGCAGTTAGTGTATTTCAAAAGTACGCAAAAATATCGGCTAGATCTAATCTTAACATAACGGAGACCCTCCCATAGTCTATGAAGAGGAGCATATATTAGCTCAGATGGTGTTTCGTGTCAGTTCTATTGAGATTCGTCATAATAGAATACGAATATTTGAAGTAAACCCTTTTTGAGTAATGTATAAATTCGTTTCGACTACAATTTTCGAAACAATGTCATCGTTTATGAACTTGATAAAGATCTGAAATAGCTCCTCCAGGTCAGTTATTTCTGAGGGCAGTTCCGAATCCCCTAAAAAGCAATGCCATCTTCGTCCCATGGTAAATTTCTTTTTTTCCAAATCATCTACGTGACACGCACGGCTACGTGATCAGCAATTCCTGGAATACCTGAACTTGATTGCGATGAAGTACCCGCCAGAGGTTCCGCCATGGAAATACCATCTAATATGTGCTCCTCTTCATAGACTATGGGAGAGTCTTCGTTATGTTCCAAGGGTACATTATGATCTATGGACTCCTCATTCAGATCATGCAATAAATCCCGTAATAATCGTGTTATCACCATCTACATTTTCATCATCTTCTGAGACTGCACCATCATTTAATGCAGCAAGAGCTGCCTCAATTTCCTTTTCAGATAGCGAGCCAAATATGCTGAAAAGAAAAGCCAAATAAGCAAACCATAGAACATTTTTATGGCATACAAACGCATGGTGTAGACATTTGGCTACATACTGTTATTTTTCAAAAATATACTTTTTTTTCGTACTAAGATTTTTTTTATTATTTTTCCCCCTATCTGTGACTAAAAACCTAATTGGAATATTTTTTTCATAACTAAATAAAAAATCATGCATTTAAGGGTTAAACAAATATCAGTGAGTACTTAAGTATGTACACAAACCCAGGGTGGAAAATCCGTATGTACAGTCAGCGTCTAGTTCGTGACATCTAAAGTGGGCAAAAAGTTGACGAAACATCTGTATCCCCATGAACGCCTTCCAAAAGGACCGGCCTCTGCGCCGTGCTTATCCACAGGATAGATACAAATAATAATAATAATAATAAATATCCTTGTGCATTTTACACTACAACCTTATTCCAATTGTAACAAAGACGTGTTGCGAACTTTTTGGTCACATTGGATGTCACGAACTAATTTACGCTGACTGTACAATAGAATTAGATAGATGATAATGTCCGACACTAATTTGATTGATCCTTAGTCATTTAGTTTCAGGCCTCTTAAACGAACGTTAAATATTTTAGAGTATTGAAAAGAAAAAAATGTGCAGTCGAAAAACGTAGCACTACTTTTACGAATCCAACCAGTGATTATAATAATTAATACATAGAATATTGTATTTCTAACGTAAGTATATCTGTGAATTTAGTAAAAACTGCAGATATAGATCATCAAAAATAACGATGTCTTTGAGTATAAAAAGATCAAACCATTATGTATTTATAAAATAGTTTTAATCACCATTCAAGCATAGTTTTCATGTTTATAAATATCACACGTTTCTTATCTGATACTAATACTAAATAGTGTTTGATTTTAGACTGGTGTTAATAGTAAATGTAGATATTTACATAAAAATATACAGGGTGAATTTTTGAAACTGCCAAATTTATAGATACTCGTAGTGTTGAATTTTTACCACAGAATTTAGGTAATGATTTAGTTCCAACGGGACACAATTTCAACGGGACACATTTTCAATCAGACACATTCCCACGTGGACATTTCTAAGACGCAAATCATTTTCCAAATCTGATAAGGAATACATACAAACTTTTACAAGACCAACAGAGGTTTTGTCAACCACTCAACCTATATTTATATTTGCTTATTATGTTTATTTACATTCCTTTAGACAAGACCGTTTGTATTTATTATAGCACACATCATTACATTGAAACTCTATGTACACTACTTACATAGAATGCAATACATTTTTTCTAACTAGATGAATACACGGCGTATATTCGCGTATTTCTGTCGTCCAAAGAAGTACAAGCGACTACAATATTATTCGAAATAAAGTGCACCAGATATTTCAATTTGGAATATGAAATATAATACAAATCTGCTTAGCAGACGTACAAACATAGTACATGTATGTACAATAGGGATGTTTCCTGGGTCAAAAAGCAAGAGTTTTAATTAGTCCGTCAGTTAACTTATCAAAAAATACTCTACACGTATTTTTCACTTTTTCAAACTAATGAAAATTTTAAAGAGATAAAGCGCGCCAAAGTTCATAAGAAGAGGCCCGTGACGTCAATGCGTGCAAAAATGTGCCGCACGTTGTGACGTCGTGCGGAACTTCAACGAACCATAACTATGTAATTATTTGTTAGATTGACAAATAAAAATATGTGTCCAATATTTTTTGATATTAAATGACGGACTAAAAAAATTTTTTTAGGAAACTAGCCTATTAAGCCTTAACTATAACAATTTAATTTTGTCTAGCCAATGTAAGATCACAATTTCGAGCGTTTTATTATGCATAAACAACACGCTTATGAATATCAGTCTTCCTAACAAAATATCAAAATTAAATATATTACATACATTGACCAATGTAAAGCTTAGCGTAAATGTGCGTTTAGTTGTACAGAAAATCTTAAACTTACACTAATTAAGTAATCTCATTTACATAGCAGTTGTTTACCACAATTTTAAATAAGTAGCTACTAAAATCAAAAACAAATTAACGCACTGAACTATTAAGATGCTATATGGTTCAATTTGGAGCAATCATTGGAGCGACTACCTTTCACAAAGCAAACTGCGACAGAAAGTAGCCAAGTTTTCCTAAATTGCACCATATTAACCTGTGATTTTCAACCAAATTGAACTTTAAGAACACAAACAGCAACACAAGACACAAATATTTGCCTAATGCAATGTCTTTCACACAAAACAGCTATGTTATAGCACTTAAAGTCTTGTTTAACACCAGTCGTGAACACAGTCCCCGCGACAGCGCGAGCGGGTAACGTACCCGCACGACAAAGACCTTAATCATCTAAGCAAAAGTTCAATTTTGCTTAACGCCTCGATGCTCAAACTCATATTCTCCAGATCCATGATAACCCCCAACTCATTATCGCTCATCACATTCCTCAAAACACCTCTAGGGAGATCGTGGTACACTAGATATGAACTCAAAATCTTCTTCATGTCTTCCTCGCATGAACTGATTTTTCTACTGCTGGGTAGACCTAAGTATTTTCTCAAGTAGGGTATTATTTTGATCTCCCATCCGTCGAAAACGTTGCCCACTCTTTGTTTTATTGCGAGAGTGAATTCTGTGGATATGAGAGGCTCGTTTTGGACGTCTTGGCCGTCTATTTTCATCTCGTCCATGGTTCGTTTGTTGTAGTTGTCGATTTGTGATAGTAGCAACTTGATTTGCCACATGTGGTAGGTTGACGGTTCGGTTTTCATGGTTTTTATTATCTGAAAGTGATATAATAGTCAAATTAAATGATTTGTTAAAGATATCAAGTTAAATTAATCAACGATACGACAAAATGCATGTTATAAGAAAAAAAAATAGGTACGGGGTAAACAAATGCACATAATATTTGGAATACAATAGCTGTATATTAATTAAATCGTACATCAATTGTTGCCTAGTTTTACATACTACAAAATATTAATTTTCTATATCTTACCTTCAAGAAAGTCGTCCAAATAGGCAACGCGCACAATATATCCTTGACGACACACTCATATGTCACCATACTCAAGCCTTGTACGTGATCTTGCTCCTCTTTACTATATTTCCTACACATACATTGCTTCGTCATATACGGTTCGTTCTTGACACCCTTTCTTTTCTTCGATACTAGAAGACAATCCGCACAAATGTTTGTGCCAAAAGTGTGGTCTTTGTACAAGTAATGTTTAACGAAATTTCGGACTTGGTCGTCGTTGGTAAAGAGTTCAATATTGTCTGCGGTGGCCGACCAAATGTTGGCCTTGTCCAAGGTCAATGTTTGGGCCAATATTGTTAGGAATCCGTGCGGGTCGTCCAGATAAGATAGGCAGCCAGCGCGTTGTTTTATGTCTATACACCATGTGTATTCTAAGAAAGTCCTGAAAGAATACATTTTTATATTAAAATTTATAACTATTTTTTAAAAAGGTTTATTAAGGTAATTTTGATCAATAATAGAGCGAAATGATTGTTGTTTAAGTTTTAAAGGTAAGGTAAATATTAATATTTTTAATTAATTAATCAATGATAAAGTTAAATATGTAATAAATTATTGTGAAGGTAATAACCGATATCCTATCTTATCATTTGGAGTAATGATGATCATATCTTCAATGTCACAAATAAGTGTCACATCATCTATCTATATTAGTGCCTACGTCCTCGTTATAGTTATTTTACTGTGCCTTGGTACAGTTAGCATCAATTAGTTCCTGACACCCAAAGTATCCAAAAAGTTCGCAACGCATCTTTGTTTACAATAGGATAAGGTTGTATTGTAAAACTTTTGTCCACTTTGGGTGTCACGAATTATTTACGCTGACTGTACTTAAGCTAAATCCAGACGAGGAGGTCTAGACAAAGTGCAAATTACAATAGCAAACCAGTCGAAAAATGGTCGAAAGGTAAAAAGTCCTTTCTGTATGGAGTTTTGATCAAAAAGTGCAACTTGTCTAGGGGGGAGGTGAGCATTGTGGCATCAAGTAATTGCAAAATCACCCCTGATTTTGCAACAAAATGACAGTATCATGTGCTATCGATTCATACTTTACATTTAATTATGCTTAATTCAATACAACATTCATCTGTTTCCGCAATTTATTACACCGATCTTGTCGCTACAAGGAAAAATTTCCGTGCTTTTAGGCGATTTTGTGAAAAATATTATTGGCAGGTAGTTGCTAATCTATATATACGAGGGCGGCACTGAAAATTTCGGGAATCAAGGAAGTGAAACAACATTACTATTTAAAAATGTATTTATTGCTTTTAAAAGTATTCTCCGCGAAATTTGACACATTTTTCCATACACGAAACCAATAATTGAAGCAACCATTGCATTCGGAAGTTTGGGTCTCCAAAATGGCCGTTTTGTAGGCTTCCACAGCTTCTTCAGGTGATGAAAATCTCTGACCACGCAATTTATTCTTTATTTTAGGGAAAGTATAGAAATCATTAGGCCTTAGGTCGGGGCTGTACGGCGGATGGACTAATAATTCTATGTTTTCTTGCTCTAAAAACTCTTTTGTTCAGTGCGCGGTGTGAGAACTCGCATTGTCGTGATGGAGGATGATGCGGCGGTTGCAGTTCTCTTTACGGAGTTCAGAAACGACCTGTGGCAAACAAATGCTAGCATACTAATCTGCATTAACCGTTCTTTGTCCCCCAAGAGGAATAGTCGCAACATGGCCGGTTTTGGAGACAAACGTGGCCACCATTTTTTTTGCAACACTCCGTGAACGAACAATTTTTGTTGGCTTTAATTCATTTTCGAACACCCAAACTCGTGACTGGTTTTTTGTTTCGGGTTCGTACGCGTATATCCATGATTCGTCACCTGATACGATGTTGTATACAGCATTTGAGGATCCTGCATGTAATCTCCCGAGAGTTCTGACGCACCAAGTACTCATAAGATAGGCCCCCTTAATTTAATTTATTGTCCGTGGTGCATAATCTTTTTCTTAAATGTTTTAAACCTTTGTTTGTCACCTGTCATCCGCTTTGCAATGGAGGGAAGTCGAACCTTAATTTCGAACTCCTCCTATGTTCTTCTGATTAATTTCGTTGCGGGTCCAATGACAGTTTAACTTTCCCCCGGGACAAACTTGACCTTCATTGGTTGGGTTTTTGTGGCGGTCAAGCTGTAGATCCTGGCTACACAGGAGTTGCAGTGGTGGGAACGAGAGGTGGGAATAGTCCCGTTTTTTTACATTTAATTACTTACTTCAATTGGTCCCAATTGCGATCCCTCTGGAATGTGATTGGCCAATATCGGGGGTCGTTGATTTTAACTTCTTTCAGCGTATCCAACTCGGGCAATATACAAGGGGCTTGCACTTCTTTGACAACACCGCTCAAGTCTACCAGCTGAAAGAAAATAAAAATAATGTACTTCCAATATACAACATTTTGTATTTTAATTTAGCTATCTTCAAAGTTTTGCAATACTTTAGTTACTAAGTGAAAAAAAAAAGGTAGTTTATTGCTTTATAACAACCTGTAACTTAATAAACACGCGAATTGAAAAAGTAGCAGTTCTAATAGTCTGTACATCTGAAAATATAGTCCAACGATTTTGGAACGTCAAGTGCTAAATATCGGAACTAATATAAAATCTGTAAATATCATCATTTTAGTGGACAATTCAGTGTTGTACAATGTGACAAAGCAAAAAATGAGAATTAACAACCCAGTATTAACAGTAGCGCCCTCCTGTCAATGTCATATCTGGGACACCAGAGTTGTCCAACTATACTGATTTTATCATCATCATCAACAGCCCTTTACAGTCCACTGCTGGACTATGAGCCTCCTCTATTACTATAGTGGAGGGTTTTGCCATAATCCCCACGCTTAGAAGGCGGGGTTGGAGATCGCAGTTTAAAATATTGATGTTTTTCAGAAAGCGCTGCTGCCCGTTCTCTATTTGATGTGTAGTCCTTAAGTCTCCTCTGATACTGATTTATTGAAGAGTATTCAACTAACCTGTACGTGCGCGTAACAAATCTTCCCGTTGCTTATATCCCGCGGCAGTATCAGTCGAGGTTCCACGGCCAACACATACAAATGTCTGAACGCCTGCAAGTGATACCTGTAAAATAATTTCAAGTTAATAATTACCTGGATACGCTAAATACACACAAAAAAATAAGCACAATATAATAATAACGAAGAAATTTATTACGGACAGATTAATTGAATATGTTAGTTATTGATAAGTTATTACTAGCTAATAGGGATGTTTCCTGGGTCAAAAAGCAAGAGTTTTAATTAGTCCGTCAGTTAACTTATCAAAAAATACTCTACACGTATTTTTCACTTTTGCAAACTAATGAAAATTTAAAGAGATAAAGCGCGCCAAAGTTCATAAGAAGAGGCCCGTGACGTCAATGCTTGCATAAAAGTGCCGCACGTTGTGACGTCGTGCGGAACTTCAACGCACCATAACTATGTACATAATTATTTGTTAGATTGACAAATAAAAATATATGTGTCCAATATTATTTGATATTAAACATGACGGACTAAAAAAATTTTTTTAGGAAACTAGCCTATTCTTGATATACACATGATCTATCGACATTTATATCGATCGACATAATAATTTCAGCAGAGTATATTTCTTTCCGAAGAGTAGCGATAAATCTTTTTGCTTATTTGAGTTACATAGAAAGAGACAGAAAACAACACGGATTTGTCTATTGTGTTTGTAACATGCCTGTTATCTTCGCTATGAGTGGGGAACTTGGGGAAGAAAGCAGCCAGTAATGCAGCTATCGCCGTGGGGGTCGTGCTCAATGTGGCCCGGCCTCCTCCCAGGAACAGGAGACCGATGGTGCAGTGTACCGCCATCTAAAATATAAAATAAATGAGTTCAGTCACCATGATTTTTATAAAAGACATAATAATGTACAAAATGAAATGACATTAAAATTAGTAACACACGACGTAAGTTGAAACCAGTGATTAGTGGTTTTAATTTACGTCGTCGATAATTTTCTTATTAATCAGTAAGCCTTGAATACCCAATTGCTTAACTGTAAAATTGGATTATTTTCAAATGAATATATTTGTAGTTCATCAGTCTTTGACTTGGCGAGCAACTGTTGCCGAAATTCAGTATAAATTATGCTAATTCAAACGTCAACCCTAGCACTGTGGCGTTCTACGTAGTTGTCATAGATTTTGTAAAAATAAACCAACTTCGTAACAAGAATGCATACCTAGGTAGTTTGAATTGCAGTCACTCTACACTACAGCCACGAGTGTAAAAACGTATACAACCCTTTATTCTGTCAAACGCTTTGTTTAACTGACTTTATCGTACGTTATGAACTGTCAAATGATTAAGATTGCTTTACACAATTCCACCTCTGTGTAATAAGGTTTAAATTACAATAGACATTATACCTGAGTGGCGGGTGACGCGGCGGCGGACGGCACGCGTTAACAACCCGTTATTTATTCCGCTGTGACTTACTTGACTTATGTCCTATGTCCCTTAAGGGCAGAGGGCGTCCACAACAGTCCTCCATCGCGTTCGGTCTTGAGCTACGCGTTTGATCTCGCTCCAAGCCTTGCCGATCTTCTACGCCTCGTCTGCCACAGTGCGCCGCCAAGTTTGCTTTGGGCGACCACGTTTGCGTTTTCCTTGGGGGTTCCAATTCAGAGCCTATTTGGGGATGTGATCGGGATCCCTTCGGAGAGTGTGGCCAATTCAGTTCCACTTGCGGCGCTTGATCTGCTGGTCGATCGGAATTTCGTGGCAGCGTTCTAATAGCTCGACGTTGGAGATTTTATTTCGCTGTTCGTTCGTTCGTTTCAGCCAAATGACGTCCACAGCTGGACAAAGGTTTCCCCCAAGGTTTTCCACAATGAACGGTCCTGCGCTGCCCGCATCCAGGCTCTTCCCGCGACCTTTACCAGATCGTCGGTCCACCTAGTAGGAGGCCTGCCCACGCTACGTCTTCCAGCCCGTGGTCGCCACTCGAGAACCTTCCTGCCCCAACGGCCATCGTCTCTACGAGCTATGTGCCCCGCCCACTGCCACTTGATTTTAGCAATTCTGCGATGCGCCAATGTGCGTTGCCAGTGATGGTATACGGATCTGAGACGTGGTCGCTTACTATGGGCCTCATAAGAAGGCTCAAGGTCACCCAAAAGGCGATGGAGCGGGCTATGCTCGGAGTTTCCCTGCGTGATCGAATCAGAAATGAGGAGATCCGCAGGAGAACCAAAGTAACTCGAGACCTTATTCCGCTGTAATAAGGTTTAAATTCCAATAGACATTATACCTGTCCGCCATGCGTGAGAGTGGGCGTGGCCGGCGTGGCGGGTGACGCGGCTGCGGACGGCACGCGCGCCCGCATACGACGACACACACGCAACACTTGGATGTCGCCTCGCCCCGCCATTATCTGGGAAATATAATAAGTAGTAACGTAGTTGTCAGACAAAAAAGAAATAATGTCCCGACTCCCGTATTTTATGACCTTGCGCAATTATATGAAACAACACTCAATACGCTTCTGTGATAGACTGGTCAAAATATTTAAATTCAACCAATAAAAAGCCTTGATCTATATTTGTAGTTAAAAACTTGATTCCGTTGAATAGAGTTAAGCATCGTTCTGATACGAACCTGCGCCATGCGTATATTGTACCTACAACTTACAAGTTTCAAACGTAATTGTTTCATTCTAAAATCATAGCATTTCAATTCTCTAAAACTACGAACCAATGCTGAAAACTTGACACAATATCAATTTGTTTAGGAGCGCTATGGCTATAGGCTATTTTTATTTTTATATTATTTTTATCAGTGTATTTTCTCCTTTCCTCTTTATCATAAATATCTTAATCTATTTAGTTATATTTATGTACTTAAACTCACCACACCCCAACCGTCACGTTGACGTGTTACGCGCGTTCTTTCGTCCTTAGGCTATAGCTGAAAATCAGTGGTTTGCTTTTAAGTAAACCAATTACTGAGCTATTGCCGTTTTGCATTGCTGCGACACACATTTCTGTATAAAGTGTGTAGGGTCATTCCATGACAAATGTTACCGAGGGTGAAAAACTAAATATGTTCTTTTCGCATTAAATCTGATGAATTTTGAAAGTAAACATTCCAAATTATAATGTGCAACAAAAAAAATCTGAAAGAAACAAGTAATTTTTAAGTTATTAGTCTTCAAAGTCTATACTTAAGTCAACTGTCTGAATGATCATTTTCTCTCCTAATTATTAGTAATACGATTTAAAAAAAAACTATCAATCTGTGAAACGTTTTGCCACTACATGATTCGAGGGTATTTATCATAGTATTGGTAGATAACGTCTTAGTCCCAAAAAAATTGATAATCATCAAGTTTTAAGTGTGTTTTCTTGTTACTTCGGCGATGTAACACCCGAAACAGAAAAACAGGTATTTGTTTTATTACTGTACCTTACACATGGATTAGGTTAACAATATTTGGTAAAAGTAAGGTCATGGTAGTAATGATTTCAAATACTAACTAATATCTGAGCATGATACTAATTTAGTATGTTTCTTTCATGATTAAAAACTGTAACACCCGAAACGTTTCGGATATTACATTTTTATTTATGTGTCAATATTGTGTGTATATTGCTTGGAGAAGTGAAAAAGTATTACTGTGAGGGTCCTTTGACCTCCCACTAGCGCTGGAATCAGAAAAGGAGTCATATTTCTCAATTTAAGACTTTTTTGAAATGTCGACTTAACACTAAAATTAAGGTATTGCTAAAAAGTGTCGATGTTTGACATTTCCAATAAATATCGTAATTAGAAATTAAAGTAATGCTATTTCAAGCCAAAAACAATGGAAAAAGCTATATTCTGAGGAAAAATTAAACTTGAAATTTGTATATTTTTTAAAAAAAGCTGCTTCGTAATTTCAAACCGGAATTCGCTCTAATTGTGTTTATTTGTTGTACTTTTTATTTTGTAGTACCTAGCTACTAATAAAACATCGATTTTATCGATAAAACGCGTTGAATTTTCGTACTCGTAACACCCGAAACAAAACCATTGTAACACCCGAAACAAAGAAGAAATTTATAAAAAAATAGTAAAACGTTTTATTTAACAGTGATTGTATGTTACATGGTTTGTAAATTTCATACTTTAGAAGTCCTGTAAGTTTTAGGTATGATTCCTTAAGAAAATTCGCTAAATCTCGAGTAAATGCAGCGACAGTCGGAACATAGAGGCAAAATGTCGTAACGCCCGAAACGCACACTTTTCGACTCATATTTTCGTTATCCTACATTCTAAGCTGTACAAACTTTATTATTTAAATAAAACAACTAAAAACGGACAGATTAAGGCACTAACATTATTAAAATACTATTTCAAAATACATAAAATTGTTGAATATGTGTGTACGAACGTAACACCCGAAACGATGGAATGACCCTGTACCTATATTGTATGTCATAATGATTTTTTTTTTCTTTTTATATCTGTCTTACCATACCATGTCATATTGTCCTGAGGGTACTATTTTGTCCTACTTTTGGTACTTTCTGTTTGTAATGTGTGTTTCTGTTATGCAAATAAACGTTTTATCTATCTATCTATCTATCTATGGGATTCACTCACCAGTTGGAGCTACTAACGTTTCGACGGTAACGCTAACTGGTGGTCGCACGCAAATAAAGTAGGCCTAATTACCAAATTTACAGATATGAAAAAGATTTTATTACGTTGCACAAAAGTGATACAGTCCCAGAAATAAAAATACAAGAATAACAATTTCCTTACCATGCCAGCAGCTAGCAGGCACACACAAAGACAGGCTTCCAGCGTAGACCTCCCAGCTAACTCCGCGACGCTCTTGGCACCTAAAGCCAGGAATAATCTGACGAAATGCATCACAGCGTCTCTCGCGTCCTCATCGCCGGAGCCGGCGAAACGCAGGCCGACTGCGAAACACGCGCCCGCTATTATGTTGCAATACGCTTGGCTGGAATGGATGGTAATAGGAATTTTAGTACTTCGAAGAAAAAAAAAGATATAAGGATGGGTTGCACCATCTTAGTTTAACTTTAACAAACGTCAAAAATCTTTCAAATTCCATACAAAAAAGATATAAGGCACCATCTTAAGTTAACTTTAACAAACGTCAAAAATCTTTCAAACTCCATACAAAAAGCACCCGTTATCGTTATATTAACGTTTTAAGTTAGGTGTTGCAACTCGGCCTAAGTAAAATAAGTACACCGCACAATCTATATACAGTGTGAGTCACGTTAAAGTGTACATATGAAAATAGATGAAACTAGACCTATTTTTATCGACAAAAAAGAGGTCAAAAATTTTTTGAGTTTTTTTTTTAATTTTTTATAGAATTTTTTTTCTTCCAATTACTTACTGTAAAGAAAACGTAATAACTTTTAAACTAAGAGGTATATCCTGATAAAATAAAAATAGTAATAATGCTAAATAACAGGCAATACTAAAAAAATACATAAAATACACAAAAAATGCCAACAAATAATAAAAAATGACACTTTTTGAAAAAAATCTGCTTTTAAATTCGTGTTTTTTTGGTTATTTGATAAATTTCTCCAAAAAATGCCCCTATAACCGGTAGTTTTTATTACTTTATATTATTCTCTATTGTTTTACCTTCGTAAAACCAAAAATTGCATGTCTCTATCCCTATCACAACGTTTGCAATGATCGTTTGAACTAAGCCTCTCCGGGCGCGCCATTCAACGCTTCGTTAACAACGAAACTGAAAATGACTCTAGATTTGTTATTTTGATAAAGACAAGTTAGATTTCAAATAAAAACAAAAGATTTCGAAGTAAAATAAGCATTTTAGTTAAAATTAAAATTGTCTCTACCTGTAGCGGAGAATAATGTAGTGGCAGGCCTTTGTTCAAACGATCATAGCAAATGTTGTGATAGGGATAGGGACATGCGATTTTTGGTTTTACGAAGGTAATACGATAGAGAATAATATAAAATAATAAAAACCACCGGTTATAGGGGCATTTTTTGGAGAAATTTATCAAATAACCAAAAAAACACGAATTTAAAAGCAATTTTTTTTTCAAAAAGTATCATTTTTTATTATTTGTTGGCATTTTTTGTGTATTTTATGTATTTTTTTAGTATCGCCTGTTATTTACCATTATTATTGTTCTTATTTTATCAGGATATACCGCTTAGTTTAAAAGTTATTACGTTTTCTTTACAATAAGTAATTGGACGAAAAAAATAATCTATAAAAATTTTAAAAAAAATCTCAAAAATTTTTTGACCTCTTTTTTGTCGATAAAAATAGGTCTAGTTTCATCTATTTTCATATGTACACTTTAACGTGACTCACACTGTATATAAAAATGAAACCCGTTTTCCGTTGTCACGACATAACATGAAAACGGCTTGACCGATTTGGCTGATTTTTTTTTGTAGTTTTCTAATACTCTGTACAAGGTTTTTACGGAAAAAAATATAAAGAAAATCTCTACGCTAAGGCGGTACGTAGTTCGCCGGGTCAGCTAGTATAATATAAAAGAAAAGAAAGGAGTCAAAGTAGTTTTGAACGATCAAAAAAGTTATGAATTCTTGCTAAAACATAAATCTTAATTCACTGCCATGAAATTTATGGGTACCTCATAAAAAAAGGTTAGTGTCTCATAAATTATTTTAATAATATGTCACTATTCGTCATTTCCCGCAATCGAATTGGAAAATATTATATTGAAAGCTTCTAGTTTGTTAAATATTCCAGAATTACAAGTCTTCAAACTTTGAAAAAGCTTGGTTGAGAAGGTTTATTTTTATGACTTTTTGGCATTTCCAGTGTAATAATTGAATGAGATTTATACTCACTTCATGGCTTCATAATCGATGTGGTCCTCAGTCGGCTTCACGAAACAGTACGGCTTTATTGAAGCGGGCACTTGTTCTTCTATCCATTCCTCCGTCGCTTCGATACTGTCCCACAGTACTAACCCTATAACATATTGATATTAAACTTAGCAGTTTAACTTCCAAAATTCATATTGCCAACCATAATGAACTAAAAGAGACACTGTCAAGGTTGCAGCTTCTCACTGATCACAGCTATGAGTTGTTAGGTTTTTTCCCCCTTAATCTTGAGGCCATAACAGTTTTTAACAGGAAAAAAGGGGGTGTAAGTTACTCTCATGAGCTGGAAGGCTGATGTTTGCACTACATTTAGACAGGGTCTGACGCTTCCGTCTTACCTGAGTGTATTGGTGGAAAATCATCTTGATCAAGGATTCGGTGTACCAGGTAACTTCCAGATACATATTAGGTATTTAGTGGCCCAAGAAGATTTTACCTCAAAGTACGATTCTTAGAATGGGTAGTTCAAGTCCTACGAAGACCAGCTGGTAGACATGCATTGGTATCGCTCGCGCGTAATTATGTTGCTGTCGCGCTCGCACACTCACTGCGGGCGCCCGTCGCACAGTCGCGACAGCAATATAATTACGCGCGAGCGATAAGGATGGGTAGCTTGGGGTCATTGGACAAAATTCTACGTGCTCACGGACCAGACTATAGTCGAGCTGGTAGGCGGTGGCGGGCGCCCGCAGCCGCCGCGTTGTCGGAGCGCGGTACACAGTGACGGCTCACCTCGCGCTATGATCCGCAGCATGAGCAGGTCGGGCCGCACGTAGTCAGCTGGCAGCCGCCGCGTTGTCGGAGCGCGGTACACAGTGACGGCTCACCTCGCGCTATGATCCGCAGCATGAGCAGGTCGGGCCGCACGTAATTATATTGCTGTCGCGACTGTGCGACGGGCGCCCGCAGTGAGTGTGCGAGCGTGACAGCAACATAATTACGCGCGAGCGATAAGGATGGGTAGCTTGGGGTCATTGGACAAAATTGTACGTGCTCCCGGACCAGACTATAGTCGAGCTGGTAGCCGCCGCGTTGTTGGAGCACGGTGCATAGTGACGTCTCACCTCGCGCTATGATCCGCAGCATGAGCAGGTCGGGCCGCACGTAGTCGAGCTGGTAGGCGGTGGCGGGCGCCCGCAGCCAACCGGCCAGCGCCGCGTTGTTGGACCGCAGATACATGAGCCCGAGGGCGACCGTAGCCCCTGGAGACGTCACGTCAAGATTTACAGTTTGCCCCTCGCGGATTGCGAACGAGCCCTGCTTGTATTTTTCTCTTTGGGCACCTATGAAACGGATTGGTTTTATTTTTTAGTCTTCTTTCAGTCTGCCGCTCGATTGTTATCGTGAAAATGTCAGATTTAATTTTGATGAAACACAAAACAAGATTTTATTGCAAATTCTGATGATGATATGATACTGCAAAAATACCTAATCTGTTAATCGACATAATTTGTGATCCATGGTCATGGTCAATATGCCGTTGTCCAGTGTCAGTTTAAAAATGATACGACAATTCGAAAGTAAACGTCAGATTAGCGTTACGCGATTAAGCAAGTGCAAATATCTAGTGTCTTATTGATGAGTTTATATCTTCCAAGTTTATAAACACCTTAAACAGCCTTACCAGTGAGCGGGTGTTTGTCTCCTCCCAGCATATAAGTGCGAAGTCTCTGCGCAATGTGATCGGGCGCGTTGGAACCTGCGCGTACGCACACGAATCCCAATGCTAGTCCTGCGGCTAAAGCGTAGCCTTCACGTTCTACGCAGTTTTCCATCTCAGGCCCTGGGGGCTTACCTGATGGAAATATGTTTGTCAAATTAAAATCTATTAGTATGTAGGCCTTTTCTATGGCAGGGCACATATACACGTATCAAATATAACTTGTCCACTTCAGTATAACATATCGCCTGAGGCTGAGTATAAGTGGCATATCAGCCCAGATCAGTCCGTGTTAATAACGGTTTTAAACACCAAATTATGAATATGTTATTCAGTTTTACAGATAACAATTAAACGTAACTATTTTCTCAGCTGTAACTCTTGAGGCGTTATAGCGGCGTCACAAGCGTAGTCTCAAAAAACTTTATCATTAATTAATACTAGCTTTCCGCCCGCGGCTTCGCCCGCGTGGAATTTTGTCTGTCACAGAAAAACTTTATCGCGCGCGTCCCTGTTTCAAAAACCGGGATAAAAACTATCCTATGTTCTTTCCCGGGACTCAAACTATCTCTATGCCAAATTTCATCAAAATCGGTTGCGAGGTTTAAGCGGGAAAGCGTAACAGACAGACAGACAGACTTTCGCATTTATAATATTAGTTGGGATAAACATTACCTCAGCGGGTTTGATAAGTTCAATCAATAAATTAATATGAATGAATGAACAAGTTCGTTCGTTTCATCCAAATGACGTCCACTGCTGGACAAAGGCCTCCTCCAAGGATTTCCACAACGTCTTTTATTAGTAACAAGTGACAACTACAGCATCGTCATATTCGACCTAGCATTTTGCGACTAGCTCGATACAAGTTTCGTTTACTCACCGATTTCATTCAACAACACTTGCGCGTAATGTATATGGCCAGTGTCCTGGTATATCAGGCCAACGCCAAGCAAAGCGGCCACCAGGATGTTCTGTTGGATGTCCAGTTCTATAGATGTGGGGGGTAGGAGCGGTTCTAAGTGTATGCTCATCATTTTAGTAGCCTGGACATCCATTGTTCCTGTAAGATAGATAATATTATTCATTGATTGACGTATTTTACAAAAGGATCGCAAAATTATCATCTGAGTGGTTATTTTCATCTCAATTTTTCCATATGTAATGGTTAAAACATACAATCATTTATCTTTGTCAACGAAATGTTAAACATTACTTTATTTTTACTAAAATGCTGCAGTAACTTTCAATAAAGTGAAATCATCCAGCTCAAAATTCCCATTTACATCAAATTTATCTTTTGACACATAAAAATATAATATCGACAAATATTACTAAGGTAAGGGACACATATAAAAAGTCCAAATTGTTAGTGAATCAGCTACTTCCTGTAATAAAAAATCACGGTTCTTATGTGATATTGTTCAATATTTAATGAAACAACGTTTTGTCCGGTAAAAATACTCCATTTTATTTCAACTACCACAGACAGTGACGACATAGTTTTTAATTTTAGAGATTATTAGAATTGGGTTTAAGTAAATGAACAAATTAAACAGATACCGTAAGATTATTCCACCTTGTTCACTTGGGTGAAAAAAGAAAAAATGGAAATTTTAGCCTTAATTTCACCTCTGAAGTGATATCACGCGGGTGAACTAGGTAAAATAATCCTCAAGTAAAAACTAACCTCTATAAGTAGCGGCGAGCCCTAACAGCAACCCCACACTGATCATCTCGTGGCACTTGACTAAGTATTCATACATGTTCATGAAGGGCATATCTCGCAAGTGGCCGTTGAGACCTAGAGCCATGAGGAAGCCGGCGTGCTCTGTTGACATTTCTTGGGTTCCCTGGAAAAAACATGGGTTTCATAGCTTTTACAATATTAGAGGTACTATTGTGTTTTGGCAGTTGGAGATAAGATGGTCAGTTCCTATATGATTGAAGATTCTAGGTGAAGCTCTCCAGGAGATAAGGAACTTCTCTATTGTGAATAAAGAAACATTTTCAACCTTTGAATTAATGGTGACTGGTTCTCTCGTAAGGGTATAAAAAACCAGGGTGCCAGTCTGTACTCGAATTCTGTTTGCGTATTCGAATCGCCATTAAAAGATTTAGTACGAAAACTGCAACAGCGCCCTTGTGAACGTGTCGTAAAGTGAACTTAATATGAGAAATGGTTGCACGAAACATATTTTGAGAATTAAAACTGTAACGTTATCGTTTAATTCGAAGATTGAGTATCGAATTTTGTCGAATACGCAAACGATTCGAAGACGAAAGTTGTTCATGCTAGAGGTACTGGTGTCTTTAATGAATCGCCATAGGAGTCTGATATTTCATACCATGCCCTCTGAAGCATTTCATTAACTTCCTAGTTCCTACAACTGCAATGTACGAGTAACGTCTGTGGTTTTAACTAAACTGAGAATAAGTACAAAAACGCCACATCGTTCCTTTCGCAAAACTGTGACAAAGTTACTAATTAATTGCTCACCCTCGGCTTATTATAAATCACCCAGCTAGGTAGGTATAATCATCATCATCATCTCAGCCATAGGACGTCCACTGCTGAACATAGGCCTCCCCCAAGGCTTTCCATGTTGCCCGGTTGGTAGCGGCCTACGTCCAGCGCCTTTCTGCTGCCTTTATGATGTCGTCGGTCCACCTTGTGGGTGGACGTCCCACGCTGCGTTTTCCGGTACGCGACCTCCACTCCAGAACCTTGCTGCCCCATCGACCGTCAGTTCTGCGTACTATGTGCCCTGCCCATTGCCACTTCAGCTTGCTAATCCGTCGGGCTATGTCAGCGCCTTTAGGCGTGTCTCGGAGGCATTTAAAACTAACAAGTCGAATATTCCTTTCGCAAAACTGTGACAAAGTTACTAATTACTCACCCTCGGCTTATTATAAATCACCCAGCTAGGTAGGTATAATCATCATCATCTTAGACACAGGACGTCCACAGCTGAACATAGGCCTCCCCCAATGCTTTCCATGTTGCCCGGTTGGTAGCGGCCTGCGTCCAGCGCCTTCCTGCTACCTTTATGATGTCGTCGGTCCACCTTGTTGGTAGACGTCCCACGCTGCGTTTTCCGGTACGCGGCCTCCACTCCAGAACCTTGCTGTCCCATCGGCCGTCAGTTCTGCGTACTATGTGCCCTGCCCATTGCCACTTCAGCTTGCTAATCCGTCGGGCTATGTCAGCTCCTTTAGGCGTGTCTCGGAGGCATTTAAAACTAACAAGTCGAATATTCCTTTCGTAAAACTGAGACAAAATAACTAATCACTCACCCTTGGCTTGTTATAAATCACCCAGCTAGAATCGATGCTGGAGCCGGTCATGGGGACGAGCGCCAGCCCCGCCGCCACGCCGTTGTGGAAGGTCGGCCACAGCAGGCACTGCGGCGACGCGTCGGCTGAGCCCAGGTTGATGGTGTTGCAACGCGGCGGCGGGCCTCAGCGGCATTTAAAACTAACTAAAGCCTGGTCCGTGAGCACGTAGAATCCCGTCCAATGACCCCAAGCTACCCATCCTTATCGCTCGCGCGTAATTATATTGCTGTCGCGACTGTGCGACGCGCGCCCGCAGTGAGTGTGCGAGCGGACCAGGCTTTAGTATTCCTTTCGCAAAACTGTGACAAAGTTACTAATTACTCACCCTTGGCTAATTATAAATCCTCCAGCTAGGTAGGTATAATCATCATCATCATCTTAGCCACAGGACGTCCACTGCTGAACATGGGCCTCCCCCAATGCTTTCCATGTTGCCCGGTTGGTAGCGGCCTGCGTCCAGCGCCTTCCTACTACATTTATGATGTCGTCGGTCCACCTTGTGGGTGGACGTCCCACGCTGCGTTTTCCGGTACGCGGCCTCCACTCCAGAACATTGCTGCCCCATCGGCCGTCAGTTCTGCGTACTATGTGGCACTTCAGCTTGCTAATCCGTCGGGCTATGTCAGCGCCTTTAGGCGTGTCTCGGAGGCATTTAAAAGTAACAAGTCGAATATTCCTTTCGCAAAACTGTGACAAAATAACTAGTTACTCACCCTAGGCTTATTATAAATCACCCAGCTAGAATCGATGCTGGAGCCGGTCATGGGGACGAGCGCCAGCCCCGCCGCCACGCCGTTGTGGAAGGTCGGCCACAGCAGGCACTGCGGCGACGCGTCGGCTGAGCCCAAATTGATGGTGTTGCAGCGAGGTGGCGGGCCTCGCCCCGTGACGCATAGCTTCGGCAGGGTTAAAGGCTCAGTTGGCGCGCATGGGAGACTTCGGAGGGTTAGCATCCCTCTGTAAAAAAAGGGTTGAATAATTCCTTTTTATAAAAATCGCTACTCAAGAAGATTAAGTCTGGAACTAGATGGCGCAGTGTAAAATATCCATGGATATAAAATGGTATAAAAAAGATGCAATAGTTCAGTTTGATGTTGAGACAAAAAACGATCAGGTATGAGTCGAACGCGCGCATTGAAGATTTCGCTTTTTCAACCATCTTCTTATAGCTCCGTACACCAACTTTTTCTAAAAATGTCGCTTAGGAATCTAAACATTAAACCAACGATGAGCGTAAATTACCAAAATGCAAAAAAGCTTTTGCTGTAAAGTATGAAAATATCTTTATTGTACATAAGGCACAAGACAAAATAATTTCATAAAATAGTCTTAGTAAGTGAGAAGGCATATGGTCCTTCCGTCGTCCATGGACACCCAACCCAAGCAAGTTGCGTTGCCTATTGTATCAAATGACCACTTACCTTGCTATTGGTAACGCCATAGTTCTCGTGCTGATAGCGAAGAGATGCTTCTCCTGCTCTTCGATAAAGTCGTGGTCGGACACCTCCGGCCTTTGAGTCAGGTTGATCGTCACGGGGATCGACGACTGCAGAAGGTTGAACACCTCTGTCATCCTAGAACCATTAATTATAATGTTAATAATACATTTCATCATCATCATTTCAGCCACGTCCACGTCAGCGTGGGACGTCCATCCACAAGGTGGACCGACGACATCATAAATGTAGCAGGAAGGTGCTGGACGCAAGCCGCGACCAACCGGGCAACATGGAAAGCATTGGAGGAGACCTATGTTCAGCAGTGGACGTCCTGTGGCTGAGATGATGATGATGATGATTTCAGTCACAGGACGTCCACTGCTAAATATAGGCCTCCCCCAATCATTTCCACATAGGCCGGTTGGTAGCATTACACAAATTAACGGTCATAAAATAATGGGGTACCAACACCTACACTTCAGCATGTATTAGAAATAATACCGATCGTGTATCACCTGACGTATCATATCAATGACAGCAGGAAATGTCCTGTTTTTACGTTCACCCTTATGTTTACTTTAGTAGTTTAGTGAGATACATTATATCAATTTGAAGTTTATGTTGTGAAAACCTCAAAATATTATGTTTGAAAAACAATTTTTTTTTCAAAGCCTCATTTCGGTTCAAGTGGCTCATTTAGATTTTTTGCTTTTTTTGTTTGCTTAAATATCACCAATACTTATGATATCATCTATAGGGTCATCACACACAAGCAATAGTATGTAATTAAAATTGTTTTTAATTACATACCTGTGATCTCGTGGATACAGCAGCCCTAGCAGTTTACTGTTGAGATGCTCCATTCCCGTGCTGGTGTCGTTGTCGTCGTTCTTCGACTGCGAGGAATCCGTTTGGCAGTGGGGAGTCGAGTTCAGCGAATAGGCAGTCTCTTTCTCTAGCACTTCTAACGCCAAGGCTATGGAGAAAGAGTTTGCAATTAAAATAAGCATCACTGTAGAAAAAAAAGTTACATATTGTGTAGTGTGCACAAAGTAGATACAATAAATATGAAAATAGAAGCGAGTCACATTCGACACACAGGACAGTTGTGATATTCCACAATTCTTTTAAAGTGATCAATCAATCAATCATTTATTGTGTTAGTTGAAATGAAACTAACTAATCTTACTAACTAAACAGGCTGGCCTTCAAAATATTGCCATTAAGCTGTATAATATTAAAAAGAATATAAGATAGAAATCTATGAGTCAATCAAGCTAATAGAGTTTACAATAATATATTACCCTATTTCAAGCGAGTAAAAAGGGGACAAAATCTACATCTGACTTCTCTTTAATCAATCATAAAACACCTAGTGTCAGATTTAAAAAAAAAAACATTAAAAATTAACTTACTCTCCAAATACTCGGACGTAGACTTGATTTTCTCAGCGATCTCCGCCTGCAAAGCCAGGTCTTCCCTCATGATGAGGTTATAGGCCTCCACCGGCCAGTCTACAGGAGGCTCGCTCTTGCAGCGGCTGAATATCGTGAGCACTAGAAGACCGATAGCTGGGGGCAGGTTGTCTACGTCACGGGGAGTTATACCTGGAATTTATGGAAATTTGTCAATGGACTAGATAATATAGTGTATTTTCGACAACGCTTCTCGGGTTTTTGGCAAAGATTGAAGTGTTAATTCTGTTTTCAAACGCAACCTAAACATTGATCTGAATAGAGAAAAATACATACGGTTACTTTGTTTTTCTAATGTGTGTTACGAGTACATTGGCAACGTTCGCTAAATAATGGGCTAAATGGAGCTAAATTAATTTACTAATAATCCAAAAGTCGTTTCAGCCGAAAGACGTCCACTGCTGGACAAAGGCCTCCCCCAAGGATTTCCACGAAGACCGATCCTGCGCCGCTCGCATCCAAGCACCTCCCGCGACCTTCACCAGATCGTCGGTCCACCTAGTAGGAGGCCTGCCCACGCTACGTCTTCCGGCTCGTGGTCGCCACTCAAGATCTTTCCTGCCCTAGCGGCCATCAGCTCTATGAGCTATGTGCCCCGCCCACTGCCACTTGATTTTAGCGATTCTGCGGGCTATGTCAGTCACTCTGGTTCTCCTACGTATCTCCTAATTTCTGATTCGGTCACGTAGGGAAACTCCAATCAAAAAGTACACTGAAATAACTATGGCGGCCATACTGTCGCGCCGCGTGACGTCACACTCCCGCGCCCGCTGTGACGTCAGCGGTGACGCGCTCACCTCTCTCGCACGCGGTGCCCACGGCCTGGCAGTAGGGCGAGCTGCCATGCTGTCGCGCCGCGTGACGTCACACTCCCGCGCCCGCTGTGACGTCAGCGGTGACGCGCTCACCTCTCTCGCACGCGGTGCCCACGGCCTGGCAGTAGGGCGAGCTGCCATGCTGTCGCGCCGCGTGACGTCACACTCCCGCGCCCGCTGTGACGTCAGCGGTGACGCGCTCACCTCTCTCGCACGCGGTGCCCACGGCCTGGCAGTAGGGCGAGCTGCCATGCTGTCGCGCCGCGTGACGTCACACTCCCGCGCCCGCTGTGACGTCAGCGGTGACGCGCTCACCTCTCTCGCACGCGGTGCCCACGGCCTGGCAGTAGGGCGAGCTGCCATGCTGTCGCGCCGCGTGACGTCACACTCCCGCGCCCGCTGTGACGTCAGCGGTGACGCGCTCACCTCTCTCGCACGCGGTGCCCACGGCCTGGCAGTAGGGCGAGCTGCCATGCTGTCGCGCCGCGTGACGTCACACTCCCGCGCCCGCTGTGACGTCAGCGGTGACGCGCTCACCTCTCTCGCACGCGGTGCCCACGGCCTGGCAGTAGGGCGAGCTGCCATGCTGTCGCGCCGCGTGACGTCACACTCCCGCGCCCGCTGTGACGTCAGCGGTGACGCGCTCACCTCTCTCGCACGCGGTGCCCACGGCCTGGCAGTAGGGCGAGCTGCCATGCTGTCGCGCCGCGTGACGTCACACTCCCGCGCCCGCTGTGACGTCAGCGGTGACGCGCTCACCTCTCTCGCACGCGGTGCCCACGGCCTGGCAGTAGGGCGAGCTGCCATGCTGTCGCGCCGCGTGACGTCACACTCCCGCGCCCGCTGTGACGTCAGCGGTGACGCGCTCACCTCTCTCGCACGCGGTGCCCACGGCCTGGCAGTAGGGCGAGCTGCCATGCTGTCGCGCCGCGTGACGTCACACTCCCGCGCCCGCTGTGACGTCAGCGGTGACGCGCTCACCTCTCTCGCACGCGGTGCCCACGGCCTGGCAGTAGGGCGAGGCGTACTGCGCACAGTCGCGGCGGCCGCGCGGCGTGCTGGCGGCCATGCTGTCGCGTCGCGTGACGGTCTGGACTCCTGCGCAGCGACCCACGCCTACTATAGTGAGAATCTGTAATACGAAACAAAACATTCAGGAACTTTCTAAAGCCTGGTCCGTGAGCACGTAGAATCCCGTCCAATGACCCCAAGCTGCCCATCCTTGTCGCTCGCACGTAATTATGTTGCTGTCGCGCTCGCACACTCACTGCGGGCGCGCGTCGCACAGTCGCGACAGCAATATTACGCGCGAGCGATAAGGATGAGTAGCTTGGGGTCATTGGACGGGATTCTACGTGCTCACGGACCAGGATTTAGATATTACCACTGTAGTGCTCCTTTAAAAGCGTTTACGCCGTTTGGCGCAAAAACAGTACTTTTTCAACCCGTTACAATCATTAACCAGTTACATTACAAATATGTTATAGGCATAAATAATTAGGCAATTTTGTCGTCTAAATAGTTAATTGAGAAAATATTTCAATTAGTATAGTATTTAAGAATTCTATCAAGATAAGTCCACACAGGTTTTCACCACTTTAGCGTCAGTTTACAAGCTGAAATTTTTATAAAAATTCTGTGAAAACGATATAACAAACATTTATATATTATAGCATAGGTCCTTAGGCAAATAGTTAGTTGAGAAAATTCTTAGATTTAAGCATTTTACAATAAGAAATCACAAATTCAAAGAACGTGAAATACCCAAAAATCAAAGTGATTTTTACACCATTATTCGTCTTTAATTCAACATAAAAATAGCTTAATATAATAAAACAGCATCTTCTTTAAAATATTTACTTTGAAACGATATATAATTCATTGTTATTGTTTTGCTATAAACATTTGAAAACTATTAAAAAACGCCGCTCGCGAATCATTTCCAATGTTGCCCCTTGAAACGCCGCGCTTCGCGTAAACGCTCTTAAGCAGGCTGTACACTCCCGTCCCAGAGCTCTTGCCCAGGCTCGCCCGAATGTCTCACGAGACAGCCCCATGTGCGAACACGAGAGGAAGCGATAGCTAGACACCCCGAGAGGTAGCGAGTTCCCCTGTACACTCTCGCACTCGGCCTGTCTTGTGGGCTTTCGGCGAGAGAGTACAGCCGGCATTAAAGTTACTTGCTTCATTAGAAATGTGCCTTGATACCCCGTTTTTTAGACGCGAACAGTTAAGTAGTTGAATTCCCTGCAAGTCAGGCGAAAATATGACATTGTTTAAAATTAAAATAAAGTGACAACATTACCTCAATAAGATCCCTGGACATATTATTCACATCTGTCAAGTACGGGTAATATCCAGCGTCTTTGTCTTGCAGCATACAGTTTAGGTAGTTCAATATGTGCGGCGGTTCATTCGTGAAGTAAGTCGGCTGAATCAGCTTCTGCAACGTTGCTTCTGATACTTGAGAGTTAGATTCTTCGATATCCAAATCATAATCTGTTGGAAAATCCAGCCAGTAGTGATTCACGTAGCATTCCAATTTCAAGTCTTTGGATATCTGATACAAAAAGCCTGAAAGTGGCCTGAGGTCTGTCCAAAGAATAGTGTTTAATTTCGTCTCTTCGTACACCAAATGGAAAGCGTACAGCACTTGTATTGTATACGGGAATAGTAACGCGTTTGTGTTGAATTGCGAAGGTTTTTCCATTTCAATGCTGTTTCTTAGTCGGTTTATTCTAGCCGTTTTGGAATCTGAGCTGGGCGTCGCTTGTATATGAAGCATGCTCGCTAAAGAATTTCCAATGGTTTTGTGTAGTTTAGAATTTAGTAAATACTCCCAATCTTCGTGAGACCCGTCACTTGATGTTCTCTGTTTCTTGGTGGCCACTTCAGTGTGTTCAGTTTCTTCGGACTGTTTGGATTGCGATAGTTTTTCGACGTCGTAGCCCATTAGGAAGAAGAGCAGGTTTGAAAACATGGACCATTCTTGCTCTGGGGTTAAGTCTTGCGTGCCGGGAGCGTTGCGAGAGCCGTACCATCTTATTATGACCTATAAAGAGTAAATAATATTAATTATTTCCACTACACCAATTACATTCAAAATCAGAACTTTAATCTGTGAGAGAGTACAATTGAATGTTGTAATTACAGACCACTTTTGTGAACTGAGAATTTTTATACAGTGTTTTGTTACAGGAATTATAGATCGTTTCATCCACGAAGACGCGCCCTACCACTTTTTGGGCGAGGGAAGCGCGGGGTGCGGGGAGTTTGATCCGAGCAATTCGAGCGTCATATTGTAGTGTGCGTGTGCACTCATGGTTACTGTCATGTCTATGGATGACGTCTCCATTTCTATGTGTTTCTACATATTGTTTACTTATAAAATTGATTTCATTGGAGTCAAACTGCATTTGTTGAAGACATGCCGCTTCACATACTTTTTCAAAAGGCAAAAAAATATTTTACAAACTGAAATCCGAAATTATCTAAGTACCTGCATAGTAATATCCTTAGGCAGTATCGCCTTCAAAGCAGCACAACACCTGGTGACGAGGTCCGAACACGATATGGTGGGCAGCGAAATGCGGTACATGACTCCGGAGTCAAATTGCAGGGTCATACGCGAGCCGGCCGCGTCACATAGACCGCTAAGACCTGAAAGATAATACATCAACGAATTTACGTTAAGATTATGATTTCGTAAATAATTGGAGGGGAGACTCACGAGACCCCATTTAGCAGTGTCCATTTGTATAACATGAACCATGATAATTATATCCTAGATAATTAATGCGTGTCTCGTTTATTATTATAATAAACTGTAAAATAAGTCTGAACACTGCTTTAGACTGCATGACACAAAAATGTTATTCTACGTAATGAAGTACCTAATCTATGCCTAACCTAATTTCTAATGGAGTCATAATGTTTAGCAGTCCGTCCTGTGGCTAAAATGATGATGATAGAGTATTTTCTTCACTGAAAAAACAATTTCCAGTTTAGAGATTGAAGTCCATAATATTTAAGTTATGACTTCAAGTTCAATAAAAACAAAAACTTTAACAGCTCATGTTTATACATGCACATGAAATTCAAGCCCTATAATTTTGCTATGGTATCTCGTTTGCAGACAGCGAATAGGTAAAACATGAAACTACCTAAAGATTCCTTCTGCTCCAGCCTGGAAGCGCTACTATGCGGCACCGGCGACAGTAGATGCAACGCAGAGTCGTCGAAAGCCGACGCGTCGTTGCAACGGCTCGGTAACAGACTGCTGCGGCGAGGAAACGGGGATTGGAACGTCGGCTTTGTGTATGGAGAGTCGATCAGACGCGCTAACACTCCTCCAACATGCACCTGGAATAATCAAAATCAAAAATATTTATTCAGTTTAGACCACAAGTGGCACTTATGAACGTCAATAGAAAATAATAAAAAAAGAAAAGGTAGCCCTTATGGGGCACTTTACATGTCTCCTTATCTTTTGGGCCCTACCAGCGCTTCGAGACAAACATATGGCAAGTGCTGAGAAGAAACACCGGAACAAACTCAGTCACCACTTATTGCCAGGAATTATCTAACAGTAGGAATAGTTAAATTTAAGTACATCAAATATGTGCAGACTGAACTGACCACGCATCCTTGTCATCAATATAGTCTCGAACCGAATAATAACTCGAACCGAATGATAAATTTAGCAAGCTAAAGTGGCAATGAGCAGGGCACATAGTACGCAGAACTGACAGCCGATGGGGCAGCAAGGTTCTGGAATGGAGGCCGCGTACCGGAAAACGCAGCGTGGGACGTCCACCTAAAAGGTGGACCGACGACATCGTAAAGGTATCAGGGAAGCGCTGGACGCAGGCCGGTACTAATCGATCAACATGGAAAGCATTGGGGGAGGCCTATGTTCAGCAGTGGACGTCCTATAGCTGAAATGATGATGATCATGATGAGATTTAACAAGGGCTTACATATTGCGCTTTTTGCAACGATCAAACGCGCGTTTTAGTCGCGCGACTCCATCGCGATTGTATCACTGCTGCAATGCGACTGAATCACGTGTATCGTTGCAAAAAGTGGCAATGTAAAAGGGCCCTTAGCTCTAAGGTTAACTGGCCTCCACCAGATATTCTCTAATATCTTATGGCATGAAGGTCTTATGTACAGACGACGGCACTTCAAGCTAAAACTATTCATTATACCAGTGTTCCGCAAAGGATGTACCACTGACACTAGTGTAGTGATCATTAGATGTGTGCCACGGAAAAATTAGGTCATCGTAGAAACATTTCTTTGTGGCGTACCTTCAAAAAATTTCGTTTTCCTAGATGTACCTCACAAAAAGTTTGCGGAACACTGAATTAATTAATAATATGTTACTAACCTTGCCTACCATACTATTGCCAGACTGCAGAATAATGTTTCCAGATTCATCAATCAGAGCTATCATGTTCAAATGATCCAAAACAACTGCATCTTTAGCCAAAACTGAAGAAACCGCGCCCACGATCAGATTACTTTTCGACGGCTGTCCATGAGAATGTGACTTCTGCAATCGTATAATTTGAAGTCTGCTTACGCTGCTTGTCTTCACAATAAAGCATAAGTACTCGTGACCAACCAAATCAGTGTGTAGGAACGTTTTCATATCGGCAGGGTTGTCGATTCTGTCGCGACGTAATTGCTGGGTATCTGTCCAGATATGTTCCAAGCAAATATCTGGGTACAAAGGCAGTGAGGGTGGCGTCTGCATCATAGTGTTAGCCATCATCGAAGTACACGATGCTTGGCCTATAGACGCGTGAGGCGACAACCCTTGCTGATGGAAAATATTCGCCATCGGACTGTTCTGCCTCGATCTAGAAAACGTTGGCGTACTTGGCCCTTTCTTAGACTGATACGGACTACCTAAACCAGTAGCCCAACTGGTTGCATTCTTGCCAATATTACTATGAGTATTCATAGGACTATTCAGGTAGTCGCACGACTGACTGAACAAAGTTGTCGTAGAATTTATGTTGGGGCACATTGTTAGGCATTCATCTCGTAACGCCTTACGAATCTTCCACAGTGAATGGATAGCCAATTTCCAATCGTATAACAGGATAATACTGGGGTTGACACTGACGAAAACAATTTGGAGATCCCCATCATTGTAATACTGCAATCCAACAGAAGGAGATTTCATCAAAATAGGAGTGACTTCATCCAAAGGATGGGACAGCGAGAAGCATGTAGGTAAAGGCACATCCAGGTCATACCCAGATACGGATTCAGCACGTAACCTCGCGCTCATATTAAAAGGATAATTCGTTTTCGTTCTGGAGAGAGTACTGTTATGTGACTCATTTAATTTCAAGAATGATGACGGTAATATTGAGTTATGTGACATTGGTGAAGCTTGCTTCTCTAAAAGAACACCATATTTTATAGGCCACACTTTTTTGACTTGAAACGGTACATTGTTTATGTACTCTCGACCGTCTGTTGCAAAAACTTGCATGCATTTGTTGTCCATGAGTAAAATAGCAGGCATCACTTTGGTAGGAATATGTTCTGTGGTGTCCTCAATTTTGATGTTTTTCTTTTCATCTGCTATTTGTGAATTCAAGGCGTCAATGAGCATAGTGTTGTTGATGTTTATGTGGAAGTTACAGAAGGCAGCATGTTTGATGGGATTTTCAAGAGTGTAACAGCAAATTGTTTCTCTATATTCAGGAGCAGAGACCTTAGTAGCTGGAGTTGAAATTAAACCTGAAACAGCAACAAAAATTTATTTTTATTAAGGTGTCATAGAGTTGGTCATTTATTCCCATAAAAGTTAGATTTAAAAAGGCATGAACACTAATGTTATAATTTTTAAAAATCAAAATTGAACTCTAACCCAATAAAGACTGCATAAAAATCTCACCTTTAGACCAAACAGCAGTGCAGCCCTTTACATACAGTTCCTCTTCATAAGAACTATCAGTTTTGGGATTCAAAGGTCTCTTCTTAGGGCTTTTACTAAGTCCGTTGTTTAGATGGAACTTTTTGGACATATTACTGGAACTGTTAGCGCTGCCAGCTCTGGACGGACCAGCCGAGTTGACGCACTCTGTATCCATCTTTTTGACACCACCCAGCAGTTCTGACTTGATGGAGATGTTAAAGTCATTTTTGAGACGGCTTGGCGGTCTAAACGATTCTGAGTTGTAATCATTTTTCAGATCCTTTTGAGCTTGTGTTAGGTCGTCTTCAATTTCTAGAAAGTAAATGTGATGATATACCTTAGTTCTTTAGAAATTTCCCTAAATGTAAACAAATATGGCCAACTGACATTGACGAATTTTTAGTCTATGTCAGTTGATCTTAGGGTTCCCAACCCTCCCGGATTGCCCGGGAGACTCCGGAAATAATGGTTAACCTCCCGACCTCCCGGAGAGCAATATTTTCTCCGGTATTTCTAAAAATTAAATGCATCCATTGCTGCTCGTACTTATTTATAAATTTTATCTTTAAAAGAACCAATCACCATGTGATTGGTTTACTAAACTCCAGGAATTATTAAATATTGACATAGATAGTGACAAATTGTACGATGAGTTTGGACTTTTGTGTGAAGAGCAACCACATCTTATTGAAGAAAATCGAGTGGATTTACGCTGGGTTCACTTCTTCACGAAATCGAAAGACAGAAATCCCTGTCCTGAATTAAAAAAAATGGTCACGTTTGTTCTTTCCATTCCTGTCTCTATTAATGCTTCATTCGAGCGCGTATTCAGCGTGATGGAGCAACTATGGAGCAAGCGCCCCCCCCCCCCCCCCATTCTCCCGGGTTGGTCCTTTCAAGAGTTGGCAACCCTAGTTGATCTACTAGTGATGCGACAAAATCTCTCGTTAATCGCAATTCTGTAAATGTCATGTACTACGGACGGACTGCAATAGACGATTATTAGATTTTCAAAGATCGTTTGTATAATTATTAATATCAATCCCTCTTCTGATTGATGTTGAGATCAGTAATGTGATCGTCAAAATAGGATCTTCTTAATCAAAGAAATTTTAATTTTCCCTTTTTTATTTGTTAAGGAAATATAATTTAAATTATACTGTGGGTCTAGACAAAGTGCACAATAAAATCATATACCAGTTGAAAAGTGGTCGAAAGACCTTTTCTATGTGACACTCGTCTGTATAATAAAGCTGAATTCAAAGACTTCTTCGCAAAGTGTGTCGTTGCATTCAATGAAGAAAAAATACTTTGTTGAATATAACCTCGTTTATATTTTATTTTAAATTAATATTATCAAAGTAATTGGTAATTGAAATAATTGAATACTTGAAATAAAATCGATAAAATTTACAGATTATTATCTATGAATATTGTCTATGACTTACAGATTTTCCAGAGATAGGACCTAAATTTAAACGTCAAATGTCGATTTGACATTTTAACATGAAGCACAAATTTTCACCATCCAAATATTTTGTTAAAATATTTATTTTCAATGTTAGATTTCATATTTGTTTCATCATGAGAATAAAGTTGGTTTCATGAGCTTGTGAAATAATGTGTATGATATTAAGAAAACGTGAGTATTATAGTGTAATTGTGTGCAGAAGTGTTTGTTTACATCGATGGAAATTTCTAAAGAATTTAGGATTAATTTATACAACAATCATCTCTGTTCTTGACTATCTGTTTACAAATAGCTAATTTAATGATGAATTACTATAAATTATCATTTATTACAAATAAAAAATATGCAACTTGTTGGTGTTCTTTTTAATTAATATAATAATGAAATTATTTTATATTACTTGCAGTATCTACGAATGTAAGAGGCCTTACCACCAGAGTTCCTGTAGTAAACCTCTCTAATACACCACCACTCGTGTTCGTCTGCTTCCTTCGCCTCCAACAAGCTCTCATCTTTGATCGCAAAGTTCGTCAACTTATAAAGCAGCGAATTCTCCGACGCTGAGATGTTCTGCCCCTTCCCGTAAATCTGACCAGGATGCTTGGCTATCACAGTTCTACCGTGAGGCACAAACTCCTGAAAAATTAATTTGTGTACGATATCAATGGGGCGATAATAAAACCCATATTAACATAATATAGTATCTTTGATTTTGACGTTATTTGAGTCTTGGTACAGCTGATGAAAGGGAAAAGACACTTCAAATGGCATAATTTTATTGGAGTTCTCCACCACAGGGAATCCTAGTTTGAGTTTATTGAATCCAAGGATGCCATTATTTTATGTTTATAAATAACTAGCTGACCCGGCGAACTTTGTTCCGCCTTAATGGCAATAAATAAGCAGACTTTTTTTAAAATTTCGAGCGGGTAAAAAAGTATCCTATGTCCTTCTCCTGGCTCTAAACTACCTCCCTGACAATTTTCAGCTAAATCGGTTCAGCCGTTCTTGAGTTATACCTAAGNGTCTGCGTTACCCGCCCCGCTCCCGCGCCGCCGCCGCCGCCGCCCCGCTGCCCGCTAAGTTCGAGGCTGAGGCCTAACTAACACGACTTTCTTTTATATATATAGACTAATTAGGTACATTGAGACCTGGTGTAACAATAACATGTACTGTGCTGTTTTTTGGACTAAATACATTTTATTGCATCTAAATAAAATCAAAACAACCACTTACCAATGGTTCCGAGGCGGCAATCATTGTATTCTCATCCAGATTTGAAACGATATAATTTCAACTATTTATCTCAAGCATACAACACTTTTCAGTTACAAATATGAGATTAAATAATGGTATAGTTTGTTTTCATCGAAAGAAAACCCAAATTGCGAATTTCAATTGAAAATGCGAGTCCACCGGTCACCGCAATTTGACAGTTGGGTGACAGTTTTGACAACGGGGGAAAATTGCAGGGTTACCTACAGTAATATGCTAAAATCCCCCCACAGAAATAAAACAACCAAAAAATGTAGGTCAAGTAATTTAAGTTCGGTCGTTCTTTTCGAGTCCATAGTCATTTTAAATTTTTAAAAATGAAGTAAATCATGTTTTCCTGTACCTGCTTTTGGGTTAGGGGTCACAAAAATATAATCAAGCGTGAGTTCAATAAAATCTGACGACAGATGACGTCATAATAATATTATGATGACCAAATTTTTGAGTAATGAACTGTAAAAAATCAGTCAAGACTGATCATCATACTTTAAAATCCTCGAATTTCCCCAAGTTGAAGTTCCCCAATCAGCTTCGCTTTCCCCGTAGTTTAGGGAATTCACCACAAATTGGCAACCCTGGAAAATTGACAAGTTGTTTTTTTAAAGATGTTTCACGGCTCTGGGTTGTTGAAATCGGCTATTAAACCTGAACCTGCTCACAGACTAAGAAAAGGAAAACATAAAATCCGCGGGAAAGTTTTGAATTATTTTTCTTGGTACTCAATAATATTTTTTCTTTCTTTCAAGTAAATTCGTGTTTGTATGTATGGTGAAATTGTAGAAAAGTGGGCATGATCTTCTTACCCCCTGGCCTGGTTTGCATAACACAGTCCCTTGCGTCAAATCCGGTATTAGTTTTGATTTTTACAGATCGCAATATTATAAAATGTTACCTATATTTACGTATATTATGATAATCGTAAAGACAAGTTACCTACCCAAAAGCTAGCAATAATCATAAATATGATCACAATCATGCTAATTATTATCTGTAATAACTACCTACAGGCTACAACATGACGTGCCTTCAATAATCACAATGATGTGATGCGGGCAAAACGTAAAGACGCTCATACACTAAACTTCATCTTCATCATCATCATTTCAGCCATAGGACGTCCACTGTTGAACAAGGCCTCCACCAATGATTTCTACAATGGCTCAGAATGGCTGGTTAGTGGCGGCCTGCTTCCAGCGCTTTCCTGCTACCTTTATGTGAGGTCGTCGGTCCATCTTTTCGGTTCTCATACACTTAATAGATATTACCTAGGTATACAGGGTGGAAACGTTAAGTGATCTCACGCGATTATTTCTAAACTATACAAGATATCGAAAAACTGATTATTGATTCTGTACCTCTAGTAGGAAAAACTTTCGAGTTCGTTTCGTTGCGTATTCAAAGTGTCATCGAAAAATTTTGTATGACAAATTAAACAGCGCCCCCTAGGGCGGCTATAATATAGGGGGCGCTGTTTAATTTTTCATACAAAATTTTTGCAACGAAACGAACTCGAAAGTTTTTCCTACTAGAGGTACTGAAAGTGCTTCACAAGCTCTTTCAAACGGTACCAATAATAGGTTAAATAATAAACTGGATCTATCCGAAAATTCAATGTTTCCAGCTTCCATACATTTAGTAAAATCACAAAATATTAAAAACTATACAAGATATTAAAAAACTGGTTACTGATCCTTAATTTTCGGATAGATCCAGTTAATTCTGTAACCTATTATTGGTACCGTTGGATAGAGCTCGTGAAGCACTTTCAAGATCAGTACCTCTAGTACGAAAAACTTTCGAGTTCGTTTCGTTGCGTATTCAAAGTGTCATCGAAAAATTTTGTATGAAAAAATAAACAGCGCCCCCTATATTATAGCCGCCCTAGGGGGCGCTGTTTAATTTTTCATACAAAATTTTTCGATGACACTTTGAATACGCAACGAAACGAACTCGAAAGTTTTTCGTACTAGAGGTACAGTAACCAGTTTTCCGATATCTTGTATAGTTTAGAAATAATCGAATGAGATCACTTAACGTTTCCACCCTGTATCTCGAATAATTCGAATCGAATCGACGAAATGCTTAGAAGAATGGCCATCTATTACCACTTACACCAATTAAAAAACTCCCTAAAACTTTGGGGGACGAGTGGATTTTTTCACTCTTCTACATAAAATGGTAGGCAGCACGCAAGTGCATCTGAAGTCATGAGGCTGTAATGTAACCTCATCTGTAATGTAACAGTACTTATACCTAAGTAGGTATGTAGATTTTAAGCGTGAAAACAATATGGATACGGATACGTTTACTTTACTTTACTTTACCGACTTCAAAAAAGGAGGAGGTTATATCATAATGTTCGACTGTATGTATTTTTTTTTTCTATGAATGTTCACCGATTACTCCGTCAATTGTGGACCGATTTTCAAAATTCTTTGTTCGATAGGGTACACTTCTGAGGTGGTCCCATTGTCACCAAGTTAGGATCTGATGATGGGATCCTAGGGAAATCGAGGGCAACCCTCAAATTTTATAGGCACGTATATCGTTTTTCAAACTTTTTCTTAAGTTATTCAAGTATTTGCTCCTGGAAATCATCATCTCATATTGATGAGCTGATGATAGAAGGTAAAACTCCTTAATGCTTAGGAGTTGGAAGATAATTCTTTTAATTTATAGATAAGTATAGTTTCTAAAGTTATTCAAGTGTTTACATCAGATATTCATCATTTCATCATGATGAACTGGGTCATGGTAAGTACAACTCCTTAATGCTTAGGAGTTGGAGGTAAATTCTTTAAATATTATAGGTACAAATAGACCAACAGTTGTATTCTTTTATGTTTTTAAGGTGGGCTGACGGTTTAAGGTCTTTTTAGGTTTCCTATATGGTAACCTGTATTTTGTAGGGAATATTATTTTACAGTAGACATGAAGAATATGGTCTCAATGTACCGCCTACCTTCAGTGGTAACATCAAGGTAATAATTAGTTAACTAAAAAGCAAGAAATAAGTAAAATTTTATAAAAAAAAAACCGACTCCAAAAAACCTACACTAAAAAGTAGAAAAATAATTACTAATTACCTACTTATTTATTAGGACGAATTAATATTTATGTAGGTATACCATGATTGATACTTTTGGAGTCGGTGCAGGCAAACTTTACATATGTTTCATAATCTTGGCACCGACTCCAGTAGTATCAATCATGGTATACCTACATAAATATTAATTCGTCCTAATAAATAAGTAGGTAATTAGTAATTATTTTTCTACTTTTTAGAGTAGGTTTTTTGGAGTCGGTTTTATTTTTACCCAACTTATTGATTGAGATAGGTATACACGTGCTTAATAAACTTTACATTCGCAATTTCTCACAAAATTAGTACCTATTAATTCACAGATATATCTGATTCTGTTTTCTGCCAATTAAATTTATGCAGATACCTAATTACCTACTTTATTTGTTTTGTACAAAACCAATTTACGTTCGACATCCAGAACATGAATTATTTTCTTAGTTCAAAGATTTTACTTTTTCAGATAGAATCCCCAGAATCAGATAGGTAGCTTAGATACGAAGGTAAACTCGTGAAGAATGCTTTAGTGCATTAAGTTCACTTTATGTTCAAGGCATTATAGTTTTAAATAAATAATACATATATAAAATACTTAACACCATCCTCTCTAGTTGGTGGCTAACCTAATGCATCTTAATTTTATGAGCTAGAAAATGTAGGATAAGTAGGTACTTATATTACATACGTAATACTGCAATGAACCTCAGTCGGTTGCAACTTCAGTGATAACATGGACCAAATAACCCTGAAAGTTAATGGAGATGAATATTCAGGTTTGTACGAGTGTACTAAAATATCTATTAAGTACCGCTAGGTATTAGTAATCTTCTTCTTTGCCTGGACCATAATCCCATTTTATTTGGGGTCGGCCCTTCGTAGCATGCGTCTCCAGGCGGCTCGGTCTTGGGTTTTTTGATCGTTTCACTGTTTACTTGGGCCTCTTTAAGGTCCTTATTTATTAGGAATGTAATTAATAGACATCGGATTATATGCACTATCAAAATGCCAAAATATGCACTAAAAAAGGGCGAAATATGCACAAAATATGCACAATCAAAAAAACATTATTAGAATTAACTTTATTTTCACAATACATAATTAATTAATTATATAGGTACTTATTGGTTGTAATTCTTGTGACAATATAAATATATTAATTCTTGTGACAATTAACGCTATAAAAATAGCATTATATGCGTTTGCATTATGCAATAATGCAAATGCATATAATCCGATGTCTAGTAATTAATTAATGGGAATGTATGCATTGCCGTGTGGAAGTGGATGGCAGAGTGTAATATTCCGTATCTCCCGTGGACATCATAAAAGACGACCGTGACGTGTAAAAAATATCAGTACCTATAGGTACTTAGATAGATAAGTGGCACTTTTTGATCAAATCGAAAATCAAATACATTCACGGAGCGATTTAACGTTAACTCCATACGAAAAAACGCCAGAGCTAAAGCCTTTCGTCATTACAACTGCCACGTTTTGCCACATGAATACGGCGGCAAACCTCAAAAAAAAATTTACAGGTATGAAATTACATACCTACTGGCCTGGGGGAACCCGTGGGTTATGTGAGGCTCTCCCTGCTAGATGGGCAGGGCCTACTCACTATGTTTGTGATAATGGCGGCCTTTTCTTCCACGTCCCCTGCCCAATCGTCACGATCATGGACGAGGTATGGCTCTGTAACTATACAGACCTGAGTCGACCACTGTGTGATGCTCTGATTAAGAAGATCTTGAGCCCTAGCACAGTGGTTGATATTCGCCTGAAGGAATCGTACGGCCATTCTTATCCAGCGATTTCCATCTCCTCCATCGTGCCTAGCTGGGGCGTGGGCGTAGCGGCTGGGTCCATGTTGGTCCCCCGTTTGCCCTTTCCGTCTCTGCTTTTTGGTGGGGAACAGCTCTTACTCCCCACTTTGTGCTCCGAGGGAGCACCCGCCTCAGCACATAAGGGACAGTGCGGCGCTGCAGAACAATCCCTGCTCTGGTGACCGGGCTTTCCGCAGCGATAACATAGACCGCTGCGATCAATTTCAGCCGAGCACATGGCGCTAACATGCCCCTTCTCCAGACAGCGGTAGCATCGCTGGGGTTTCG